GCGCGTGTTTATGTGCATACCTGGCAAAATAGCTGGTGGTTGTCCTCAGACACCAGTAGCAAACAGCAGCACTGTGAGTGAGTCTGTTGCTGCAGCTGCAGAAGAACACAAACACAACAACATTAGCTCTGATATATAATCACAAAATCAAACTCGGTCAGATTGTTCTTAAAGCCTCAATTCAAGGTTGTTTGGAGAGTAGCCGAGGTCTGAAAGTACAATTAGAAATCAGTGGACAATGAAAAAAAAAAGTAAAGGTCAGGTGTGCATCATCTTCACAGTTTTGTAGTACCACTGAATTGTGAAGCCTTATCAGCATGATACCCATTTTCTACTATTTTCAGGAGAATTAAATGTATAAGACAATAAATGTGGAGTAAATTCTGAGTTTTATAATGCTAAATTTGAAAAAAGGAAGACAATATAATCATCATATCTATCAAAAATAATAATGAAAAAAAACAATTATTATCAGTTAAATTACCTTTCATTTTTTTATTGTGTGTTTTTTTTTGTGGGAAATTAATCAAAATGCATGTGCAGGGAGGTGGAGAGAGATTCTGTAACAATAGTTGTACAAAAGCATACAAAGAGTAACAATTACACTGACTCAATAATGAAAAGGCAAAAAGATGAACAGATAAGGAAAAGTTCCATAAGGCCTAAAATGTGTCATCAATACATGTCAACTCAAACCTCCAATGTCAACCAGACGTGCGATACCATCTATACATCTATTTCAAAGTACACCACTGTTTGTAATGAATTTTTCTAATGGCTTTTATATTATAATGAGCATTTATACATATATAACATACACTCACTAATACAACTACCTCAACAATTATTCCTCACATTTCATCTTTATTGAGAGATCATCTCATAAACAATGCAAATAGAATAAAATACACTATCATGCTGTGATTTCAGCACAAGGTTTGGATTTGAATCCGAAAGCACAAAATCCCTACATAAACAGGACAAAGTCACACTTTGCGTCTGTGTGTGTTTAAATGAAGGCGTGTGTGTGCGCACTCAGTCTCCCTGATGCTGTCGCTCTGCGAGACCTGCAGAGCTGCAATCAATTTCCTGCTGCTCTCTATGATGGGAAAAGTTTCATTCACATTCATGGGCTGTAATATACTTGGAGGAGTAAACACACACTCCTGTCTGCATCAAGACACAAACCGCCAAGTACACAAGCATATACATGTGCATGCACACACACACAGCTATAAGAGCTGCACGTCTTCACCCAACATTCTTCTCTGTAATCCACAGAGCTGGATGGAGAACAAGCAGGACAGGAATAAACAGCAGCCACTGCCAACACACTCGCCCCCTAGCCACACACACACACACGCACACACCTACACACACACACACACACACACACTTGGCGTTTACACGCTCACATACACACGTGCACACACAGACATACACACATAAAGCATGTTGCTGCACCCACATATAATAATAAGCCCCTCCACCCCCTTTTTCCAAATACTGTTAATCCCATAAGAGCCGCCCCAAGCTCTTCCTACCAAACTGACGATTCTTCAGAAGCAACAATCCCCTGCTCCTTCTCCTCCCCTACCTCCTCCCCCCCCACCTCCCCTCACCCCGTTTTTACAACTGTAACAATAAACAGGCGAAACAAATCATGTCCAATTCAAAATACATTTTTTAAACCCCTGCAGTGTTTTTGCACCACTACAACCTTTCCCTCGCTCTTCCTTCAGAGGGAGGAAAAATACTTCAAATTCAGGTTGCAAGGCATCAAAGGATGATGTGGTGCAAGCAGGCTGCACTGCTACAGCGCTGCTGCTCAACTCCACTGAGTTGGTCCCAAGATAGCACAGAAACAGAGAAGGTCAGGTACGTCTGACTCAACCTTTTATGCAGACACCTGACCAGCTTGGTTCACAACAATTTTCACACAGACTTCTTCTTTAAGTTTTCTGCCACGAGAGGACACTGGAAACTGGCATTGTTAATAGAAAATTAATTTCTCTTTTGGTGTTTCACTTCTGTAACGTTATGTCTTGTGAGGGATACTGGAGTCCCTTTAACTGTTTAAACAAAAAACTTGTCAAAATTTTCAAAAAAGATTTTTTTTTTTTTTTTAAACACAAAGTTTGTGATTCATTTTAAGATTATTCCATTAATCTTTTGGTCCATAATTTATTTTTTCATCCATTTTTTCAAGATTATGCATTCAAGTTGCAAATTTTTCTCAAAGTTTACTATAGGACAAAGAAAAACAGCAAATTCTTGAAACTGAAGAGCTGTAACCAACATGTGTTTGCCATTTATATCTTAAGAATGAACAATTTTCATTTCAACCCATGAAACCCAAAACCTACTGGCAGATTTGAAAGGCATGCGTTCATCAGATTTGTCATTCTATATAAAAAAATAGAGAAATCTAAGCTTGAAGTTATGATATTTCGTCAAAATGACTTTATTCTACATCTCATTTAAACATTCACCAAAACCAAACTGTTTGCTCAAACCAGATTCTGTAAAAAACAAAGAGCATTCTGCGCTCCTTGGCTCAACCTTGAAACCACAGTGACTCAGCTGCAACCAACAGTCACATGACAAAAATTCAAGGGCTTGTCAGCTATACTGGGCTGAACTGCAGGCTGTGTTTACACGGAGCAGAGAGGACACAATTATAGACACAAATTAAAAATCTAAGTAGTGAAATATCCGTAGTATTTGGAGCCACATTTTTTCCCCCAGTATTGGTAACACCGGTGGGTACTTAAAAATGTTACATAAATTGGTACGTTTTTTTCTATTTCTGTAACATAAGTAATCAAAAAAATGCAAGTTCACTTTTTTATGATTTATGGCATTGAACTGTGTCATACTGCACAAAAGTCACTTTTGACTTCTGCCTACTTCTAGTCATTCTTGAGCTGTGTCCATAGAGATGTATGACTTTATGTTGCAGTGAAAAATGAGCCCACAGTGAGTAAAGATATGACATGGACCAAAAATGCTTTTAAAAGTGTTCAGAGGGTTTATTGCTAAAATAGTTACATTTCCTCTGTTTATCAACAAAAAATATTATATTTCAGCTCTAAACTCTTTGGTGAAAAGGCAAACAGTAGCTTAACCATCCGCTTTACCAAAAGTCAGCATGAAAAATTCAAAACAACTCCCTCCATGCTGAATGTATGAAAACAGAACCATGTGCAAATATGCCTTAGACTTCTCTGGAACTCTGTGATTCAGCACAACCTTCAAATCTTCCTCATCTCTCTTGCTGTATCCCTTTCTCTCTCACATTTTCTTTATTTGTGAATAATTCCATACATTTTACTTGTAGTCGGATATCTGCAGGTCGTGCAGCTGAAGTCTGATCTCTCTCTCTCTCTCTCTCTGCTCTTCCTTCGCTGTAATCAATCTCTACACCTTTCCCTCTGCTCCTCTGCTTTTTACACAGGGTGCATCCTTTATAAGGACGGGGCCCTACTATGGGGAGAATGATGAAGTAATTGTGTGATAAAAAGCTTGTGGTATAGGAAACGACAGGGAGAGGGGAAGGAGTCACTTGGAAGGATGCTCTGGTTTGCATGTACTGGAGGTCTTTAATGTGTGTATATGTGAGAGTGTATGAGTGATCTCAACCACTTACATAATTGATGACTTTGAGCTGGAGAGAGGCTGCATCAAGGTCATAGAGCTCACCTGAAAGAGAACAGGGAAACAGAGTGAGAGAGAGAGAGAGTGACGGGAGGCAAAACCAGAGAGGAGCAAGGGCAGACTGGTGTTCAGGGAAGAATGGCAATGCAGAGCATGTACCAAAGTGGACAGAAAGCAATCCATGGAGGGATGCATTGAGACAGCGAGGTCGGGGAAGGGTGACCGGGAAGCAGCGAACAGAGGCACTAATAATAAAGACAAGACAAGGGATGGAGGGCTGCCTGGACTGCAGATGAAGACAGAAGGGAAGAGCTTGACGGAGAGGCAGGAAGGCGAAGCGGACTGAGGAGACCAAAGCCCACTCTTTTTTTTTGTTGACAATTACCGGGGAGTAAACAATGTTGATGTATGTGTCTGGAGTGGCATTAGCAAGTCCACTTCCATTATGCATGAGAATTTAAACAGTGTTTTTGCAAAGCAGTCTGTTTCCGCATTGTAGCTGTCATACATTCCTTATGCCACTGACAGACTCCATCTAAATTCATAGAGAGGGGCTGACTATTAACATACAGTATCTCATTCCTCATATACCAACGTGTGTGTGTGTGTGTGTGTGTGTGTGACTGTGCAGGAGTGTTGTGTTTGTGTAGATAAAGCGTGGGAAATGTAGGATGTATATGAAGAGTTCATTTGCAAAAACAGAAAACTCCATCTTCACAAACCTTCAGAAAACCCACTTTTCCATCGTCTACCTGAGACAATATCAATCAAACTTAAGCTATCTCTATTGTTGTCATGTCATTTCTATTGAGTCAAATCCACTAAACTTCAGTTTGACTGATATTATCTCAAGCAAACAACAAAAAAATATGTTTTCTGAAAGTCTACAAAAATGTTATCTGTTTTTGTAAAGGAACTCTTCATATGTTTGTGAGAAACAAGAGGTTAACTTAATATACGTTCATCTGTGTGTGTGTGTGTGTGCGTGTGTTGTGCGTTTTGTGCGCATACCGCAGAGTTGCAAAATGTTGCGGTCCAGCTCGCAGTAGTCCTGTTCTGAGACGTTGAGGTGCAGCAGTGCGTTGTGGGACTGTAAGGGAGAAGGGCTGAGGGGAGGCCTCTGGTAGGACGCCTGAACAGCCTGGACTCGCATGCACGCCACTGAGGCCTGTGATGCCGTTCAGGTTTTGTTATTTGCAGAAACACATAGAAAAGCACCAATGTCAGCTGAGATTAAGGCATGTTGGAGAGAAGAGAGTTGTCACTGAAAACACTGTTTGATGATATTTTATTATCTTTCATCTGGTCCTTCAGCGAACCAACTGACATGAATTGAAACGCAGTTGAAGTAAATAGCGGCAGCCTCACACAGGATTCCCGAATGAGCATGTGTGCGTATGATCACAACACATAGATTTCTGTGGAGATATAAAACAACCAGAGGCTGAGCACTTAATGAGGGATGGTCGACATCAACTCTCTTAAGGAACAGAAAGAGATTCTCTGTTTTCTATTTTACTCTCAGTAACAAATAACTGAGAGGTTATTTAATAAGTATCTAACAAAAGACAGTTTGTGCAGTTCACTACTTAAATGCCATCCTAGTTTTTGTGACTAAAGATACTTTATCTAAAAAACACAAAATGTACACAAAAAAACACAAAAAAAGTTTACACACATTAAATTATTCATTCATTCATTCATCCAACTTTTGGGTTAAAGTCAATTTTGATTTGGCCAGCAGGGTTCTTCAGGCTGGAAATAAAAGATGGCAAGCATGCTTATGATGAATTTCTGTTAGATTTTTTTCCATTTTTTGCTCGCTGCTATACTATTCCATATGGTCTCGATAATTTCTATCATGTTCTACACTCTTCTGATACATTATAAGCTGAGAGCAGCTGATGCAGCAGTTCTTTATCCAGTTACTATTCATTTGCTGAGCTTTCTATGAGGTTCCATCACTGAGAGTTGCAAATTATATCTGCTCACAAGACAGGGAAAGGCTATAAAGCCATATCCAAGTGTTTTTAAGTGCCACTGGCCACAGTGCAAAGCATAATCAAGTACAAGCAGTACAAGCTAAGTACAAGCAGTTCCACTCTCTGAAAAATCTCAAAGGGCGTGGTAAGAAGCCAAAAGTGCACTGGCAGGAGTGGTAGTGTGAGAGGCCAAGAAGTATTCAAGGATCACCTCCCAGACCATCCTGATGAATCTGAGCAGTTCTGGTTCCAGCATATCAAGACAGACACTCCAGCAGACACTGCCGGTCTCCATGGACACAGACCAAGGAGGGCTCCACTTCTCCAACACTGGCACAGAAAAGCTTGCCTAGCCTTTGCAAAAGTTCACCTGGCCAAAGAAGTAAGTCTTGGCCTTCAATGCCATCCCCGCAGTCAGGTATGGTGACGACAATGTGATGGTATGAGGATGTTTTTCAGCCATTGGGCCAAAAGTAAGTGGCATCACGAGAAAAGAGGACGTCATGCAGATCCAGGAGGAAAACATCAGGCAGTCTGCAGGAAAACTTTCAACAAGACATTGAACTGAAACCTCAAAGTGGTCAAGAATTGGCAAAAAAGAAAACAGCATAAATGTTTTGGAGCGAACCAGGCAGAATCAAGACCTGAATCCTATCAAGAGTGTGGGAGGAACTGAAGACCAGAGTGATGGCAAAGGAGACTTCCAACCTAAACGACCGGGACAACATGGCAAAAGAGAAGTGCTCCAAAATCCCAGTGGAGACATGCAGAGAACTTAATAACAACATTTGATTGCTGTGGTGGCAAATAGAGGCTTTAACATGACTACTGAAAATCAGATCATTTTGGCAATAAAATAAATAAATTAACAAATAGTTAATTAAATGAATGAATGAATGAATGAATGAATGAAAAATCCATAAATACAGTTTAAATTTCTCATTACCATCACTCATAAAATGTCTTACCACCTTTTGTCACAAGTACCGGTCAAACAAAAATTCACTGCAAATCAAAATTTGGCATATCCATGTTTTGTGGATTTACTGTAGGTTTTTGGCCCATTATTTCAGAGGCAGGAAATCTGTGTGTCGAGTTTACGTTGGACATTTACAAAGATTTCAACTTCCTATAGAATACATACACAGGTTGTGCTTCTGTAAAACACTCCTATGTCAAACTAATTAGTTAAATAACACTAAACTCTTCGGTCAATGTAGCTAGTGTTGCTCAATACATTTTTCACGTGTACCCAAGACAGATGGAAAAAGAACGAAAGAGCTTACATGTTTTTCCAACAAATTCAGATGCAGTTCATCCTGATCAGATAGAGGACTGCAGCCCACCTGCAACATACAAAGACATATGCAGCGAAAAATGAGCAAAAAATGCCTCCTTCCAGTATATAAGCTTGACTGGTGCTGGCTGTGCACTCACTACCTTTCCGTCAAAGAGGAGGTAAAATAAATGATATAATCAGTCGTGACTGAGTCATTACTTTGGTTGATTAATTCATTTAAATCCTATTGTGTGTCCTTGAACGCCAGGACTCACCAGCAAGACGGCGATGACCTTGTGTTGGTCCTGGTCCAAGATGGGAACGACAACGGCTGAAAGAAAGAAAGAAAGAAAGAAAGAAAGAAAGAAAGAAAGAAAGAAAGAAAGAAAGAAAGAAAGAAAGAAAGAAAGAAAGAAAGAAAGAAAGAAAGAAAGAAAGAAAGAAAGAAAGAAAGAAAGAAGCATTCAGAATACATAATGCATTGATTCAGACTAACAGACTCAAGGTCTATTTATCGCCCTCCTTTAATTTTCTTTCCATGCCCTTGTCTAACTCCTAATCTTATTTGTTCTTTCTCCATCTTATAAAACGAACAGAAATATGCAAGGGAAAAACAGAAAAAAATGCACCTAATGTCCTTGAGTAACGCTGTTTATTCGCGTCTTTAATTTGTTACTCTCATTGATTGCCACAGCAGATCTTAATGAGCAAAATAAGTTTGATCATTGAGGTGATTGTTTCTCCATATGTGGATGGCAGAGAACAAAACAAACCCATTTCTGTCCCATCGGTACCCAGCTTATTTGTGCATCATTATTAAATGCTCGGTGGTTTGCATTGATCAACAGAGCGCAGAACGCTCATGCGAGTGTACTTGCTACAAGGATGTCTATGATTACATCCCTCAGGTTGTTCTCTTTTAGCGCGTTATGCGAAAACAAAACATATTAATTTGAAGAGGTATGCAGAGTTTATTCATTGCACTCCATTTGAGCTTGTGCTTTTTTTTTTTCTCATCACAGACCTTTCATTGCTTTTTTTGGGTCTCTTGTCCAATTCTGTTGCCCACGCGGCTCCATACCTCTCCCCCGGCAATCATCATCTCTTGTTCTCTACTTCTCCCTCGGCCTCCTTTCGTTTGTTTTTTTCCTCCCACGTTCTTACATCTCTCTCTGCTTGCATGCATGCACGGGCGCATGCTCATACATCCTCAAAACACACTCCAACGTTTGTCTGTTTGCCTGTACACCGGCATCATTCAGTGTCCCTGCTCTACCCGTCACCATAAAATCACACCTCTTCTGTGGGCTGGTAACGGCGCTGCGATGTAGATTCTGTATTTCTCTGGCAGTTCGGATGGAGGGAGGCCAGTGCACTGACATCGCTTCAGCTGGTCTGCAATGCTCCTGAAACAGACAGATACAAGATGAGAGAGACGGTTACCTACGTGACATTAGTCGGAGCAAGAAAGAGTCAGACTGTGGGGAGGCAGAGAGGAAAAAGGGGAGTTGGAGGACAGCTGGAACAAAAGGAAGCACAATGGCAAAACCAGACGTGTTGTGTTCATTGACACTAACCAAAACATGTCTGAATAGAAGCATTATTCATTGTGAAATTATATGAACTCGATACAGACATTTGTGTGTGTCTGTGAGAGTGCTGGCCAGGTGTGAAGCCAGGTGTGATGATGGCAGAAGTGTAGGTCTGTGTGTGTGTGTGTGTGTGTGTGTGTG